TCCTTGATCGTACGCTGAGGCGATCGAGGGTCCCTACTCCTCACAGTGGCAGTCAGCCATGGACGCAGAGATGGCATCCTGGAAGTCCACAGGCACCTACGTCGACGAGGTTCCCCCACGTGGGGCGAACATCGTCAGTGGCATGTGGATTTTCAGGGTGAACCGGCCGCCGGGTTCTCCGCCTGTCTTCAAGGCTCCTTACGTTGCTCAAGGCTTCAGTCAGCGAGAGGGAGTAGACTTCTTTCAGACCTTCTCCCCCACCCCGAAGATGACCACTCTTCGGGTACTGCTACACGTTGCTGCTCAGCGTGACTACGAGCTTCACTCTCTTGACTTCAGCACAGCTTTCTTGCAGGGCAGTCTGCACGAGGAGATCTGGCTGCGCCGCCCTCCTGGCTTCACTGGGTCGTTTCCTCCTGGTACCCAGTGGATCCTCCGGCGGCCGGTCTACGGTCTCCGCCAGGCACCACGTGAGTGGCACGACACACTGAGGACTACACTTGCGACACTTGGGTTCGCGCCTTCTACTGCTGACCCGTCGTTGTTTCTACGCACCAACACTTCGCTGCCACCGTTCTACATTCTCGTATACGTCGACGACTTGGTTTTTGCCACTGCTGACACTGAGGCTCTCGCCTACGCGAAGTCGGAGCTGTAGAAGAGACACACGTGCACAGAGCTGGGTGAACTGCGCAGCTACATTGGCTTGCAGATCACCCGGGACAGAGCACGCCGCACCATTACCCTGACTCAGTCACACATGGTGCAGCAGATCCTTCAGCGCTTCGGCTTCACCTGGTCCTCAGCACAGGCCACTCTTCTGGCTTTAGGTCACTCGCTCTTAGCTCTGCCTTCGGATGAGTCCGTAGAGTCGAGTGGTCCTTACCTAGAGCTAGTTGGTTGCCTCATGTACCTGATGACTTGCACTCGTCCTGACTTAGCATACCCTCTTGGCCTTCTGGCCTGCTACGTAGCTCCTGGCAGGCACCGAAAGGTGCACATGGATGCTGCAAAGAGGGTGTTGCGCTACTTGTGCAGTACATCGGGTATGGGGCTCGTGCTTGGAGGAGGGAGCTCAGTTGTTCTCACTGGACACTCAGACGCTTCTTGGGTTGACGACCAGGCTACTCAGCGGTCGTCACAGGGTTACACCTTCAGCCTTGGTTCTGGTTCAGTTTCGTGGCGCTCTACACGTTCGTCTTCAGTTCTCAGCTCCAGTTGTGAGGCTGAGATCTACGCTGGGGCCATGGCTGCACAGGAGTTACGCTGGCTTACCTACCTGCTGACCAACCTTGGAGAGAGGCCTAGTTCTCCTCCAGTGCTGTACGTCGACAACAAGGCTGCCATTGCGTTGTGTGAGGAGCACAGACTGGAGCACAGAACGAAGCATATCGCTCTGTGTTACTTCCTTGCTCGAGAGCTGCAGCAGCGTGGTTAGCTTCGTCTGCGTTACGTGGCCTCTCAGGCCAACACTGCTGATATATTCACCAAGGCACTTCAGCCTGGTGATCATCAGCGCTTCTGTACTTTGCTGGGGCTGGTGCCCACTTTTCCCCACTTATTGTAGGCTTTGCCTGTACTGTGATCTCTATATATACTCCTGACTGTTTGCTCTTCTAGACTGAGATCACTCTTGGTGTTTGTACTACTTATATACTTCTGCATGTGAACTGGCCGTATGGCTCTTTGCTTGTGCTCGGAATGTGTGGTGACGTCGTGATCCACCCTGAGCTTGCTTGCCTTTCCTGACTGGTCTTGTGACCCCTTGCTCTCCCCCACTTTGCCTATGGGGGTGTGTCAAACACTGTATGTGTTGTTGTTGTGTAGGCTATAGTGGGTTAGCCTTTAGGGGATACACAAAAACTAGGGTTTGCTACTTGTACTCCACCTTTTCATAGTTCACACTTTTCTTCTTTTGACAGACTCAATTGTCCCTTGGCCTCTGGCTCTGGGTCATCTCTAGAGAACATCTCCCTTGGCCCTTTGCTCCTGACGACTTGATTTTAGAGTCGACTCAATTGTCCCTTGGCCTCTGGCTCTGGGTCATCTCTAGAGAACATCTCCCTTGGCCCTTTGCTTTTGACGACTTAATTTTAGAGTCGACTCAATTGTCCCTTGGCCTCTGGCTCTGTGTCATCTCTAGAGAACATCTCCCTTGGTCCTTTGCTCCTGACGACTTGATTTTAGAGTCGACTCAATTGTCCCTTGGCCTCTGGCTCTGTGTCATCTCTAGAGAACATCTCCCTTGGCCCTTTGCTCCTGACGACTTGATTTTAGAGTCGACTCAATTGTCCCTTGGCCTCTGGCTCTGTGTCATCTCAGAGAGCACCTCCCTTGGCTCTTTGCTCCTGAAGAGGTGCTCTCAGGACCCATCCAGCCCCCACCGCAGTTGCTCTAGGCAGCCCCCCCAACCTCAACATCCTTCTCGCCTCTGCCCTCCTTTCTTCCGTCCCTTCCTTCCTCCTTGCACATTCCTCAGAGGGACAACAGCCCCTGGGAGACCCTCCCAGCAGTCACCACAATCGCGGTGGGCAACGCTAACTACTATGGGGGAGGGATAATTCATTTCCCCTTCACCGATCCCCTTCCCACCCCAACTACACCCCCCCCCCCCCTCTTCTCCATGCCCGCAGAGAGACAACGGCCCCTGGGAGACCCTCTCGGCAGTCACCACGATCGCGCTGGGCAACGCCAACTACTATGGAGGCGGCATGAAAAATAAAGATCTGTATCGTTCTTCTCCCCTCGCCAAACGCACCCCCCCCCTATTTCCTCTCCGTGTTCACAGAGAGACAGCGGCCCCTGGGAAACCCTCCCAGCCGTCACCACCATTGCGGTGGGCAACGCTAACTACTATGGGGGAGGCATGAAGATCTGCCCGCATGCAAATCCCAGCTCGGGATCCCTGGATGTGCGTTTAGGGCTGGGGGGCGCTGGGATAGATGGCGGTCAAGGTGGGCACCGCTAGCTACTTATGGGGAGGGATGAAGATTTGCCCACGCGCTTATCCCAGCTCGGGATCCCTGGATGTGCGTTTAGGGTGGGGGGGGGGGAGGGGGGGGGGTTGGTGAGCTGGGGGTTGGGTCGCTCTCTGAATGTGCGTTTGGGGTTGGGGGTTGGTGTGCTGGGGTTGGTGAGCTGGGGGTTGGGTGTCGGAGAAACAACTCTGCCTGCCATTTGTGAAACAGCTCTGCCTGTCATTTGTCCTGCAATCTGATGCTCTTCCTCGCTTTGGCTTCTAGTGCTGCCTCAGCCACTCCCTGCCCCCTCCTGTGCCCGTGCTTGAGCAGCTTGAGCGCGGGTCACAGGACCAGTACGCTGAGGCTCGGTTCCCCTTATCACAGCAGTGTTCGTCTGGTGTTCCTTCAGCTGCGCCCCTTTCTCATTTTCCAGTACCAGCACTCCTGAAGGGCGCACCTCCTTGACTCTCCAACGCACTGTCCCCAATCCCACATCCAGGGTGTCCTGCTTCGCTCTCTTCAGATTGACTTCCTGTCCTTCACATACGCCCCTCTGCACTTTTCCCTCTCCCTTGCGCTGCCTCTGCTCATATCTCCTGGCATCTCGCAGCTGCGCGGTGTGCAGGTTCTCCAGCGCGGCCGGCATCATGAAGCGCATGTAGCGTGCCCGGACATCAGACAGGGCCACCCAGTTCTTGATTGTGCGTGCTGTCACTGTGTCTGTCAGAACCCGTGGTGCCCCTACTGGCAGGATCGGCTCTCGTCCGTATAGCAGACTGTAGGGTGAATGATCGTGCAGTGCTGCCTGCTTCCCGAATCTGTACCCAGCCGCTATCCAGTCCAGCTCATCATCCCAATCCCTCTTTCTTTGCTCCCCATAGGTACGCATAGGCATGATCATTAGGCCCGGCCCGACCCGACCCGACCCGACTTGGGCGGGCCAGCCGGGTTCCGGGTCGGGTCGGGTCGGGTCGGCACTTCTAGGAATCCTGGCCCGACCCGGGTATCGGGTGCCGGGTCAGGCTTGACCCGCCCCCGGGTCGGGTCGGGTAGGGGCCGGGTCGGGTCGGGTCGGGCCAGAACCCCATATGCAGTGTGTAGGGGTTTCCTCACTACTGTCCAGTGTTGCAAAGATTGAATGTTTGTGTAATATATTATTATATGAACGTCCTCCCTTCTGTAAATTAACTTTTCAAAGTTGCGTAAACTGTTACACGTGTTTGGAAAAATCCTACAAAGGCCTAAAAGCTAACGGAGTCAACTAGTAGTTCGACGCACAGGAATAAGAACCAATCAAGTTTTGGTCCGATCACGTTATCTTATGAAGTTAAGGGCATGAGCATCAATTACGAACAAATATCACAACCCCCTCGATTCATCCTCCACTCCCAGGGTGGGATTGGCCGTTGAGGTGCCCTTGGGAGCGAGAGTCCCCGAAGGGTGGTGGTCCTGCCACGTCTTAATCAGCATGGAAGCACGCACTTGGCCAGCTGCCAGTCGGTGTCGCTGCCAAGTAATGATGTTCCTGCTCTGTGAGAATGCGCGCTCACTCGCTGCTGACGAAGCCGGTACCCCCAGATAATCTTTAGCCATCGCCCTCAAGCCCTTTAGTGTCTCCCTGCTGCGCCAATACTCCAATGCGCTTCCACCCCTCTGCCTCCCCTCTGCGAGGTACTGATCCACCTCATCCTGTGGATCCTCCCCCTCTTCGGCCTCCATGGCGTCCCACGCAGCAAACAACTGAGACTGGATGCTAACATTTGCCGATGCATTCACAGCCCCACCCCCTGCCGACGCATGCACCCCTGCACCCCTCGCACTAGTTACCTCCCCACCATCTCCCAGCGCCGTGGTGCTGGCTGCCTGGTACTCTGGAAGGCGCGCCCGTACCAGGGCCTTCACCCTATCAGGTCCTAGCTCCAGTGTCGCCCCTCTTGAATTCCCCTCTGCTGCCCTGGCTCGGTGCTTGAAGGGTGCGAACTTCTGGCGCGGGTCCAAGAAAGTGGCTATCGCTGCCTCCTCGCTCACACCCCCCATGTGTCACTCCAGCTTGCTCAGAGCAGCAGTGATCAGCGATGAGCGCAGAGGGGAGATGCCAGGAGTGAGCTGTGCCTTCTCCTGCAGATCAATCAGCGCGTTGTACTGCGGTACAACGGCTGAGAGGGTAGGGTACAGGGAACCCTCGGCGAAGGGGGTGACTTGCTCGAATGGGGTGAGGAAGTCTCGGAGCTCGGCGAGGTCGTCCCAGTGCGCATCCGTCAACCTGATGGCGTCCCACGCCTTCTTAGTCTCCTTGCTGATGGATGACTGGTATGGGTCACATGGGTTGTAAAGATGGAGGCACAACATGGGATGGTGGCACATGCATGGGATGGTGGCACATGCATGGGATGGTGGCACATGCATGGGATGGTGGCACATGCATGGGATGGTGGCACATGCATGGGATGGTGGGACTAGCATGGGATGGTGGCACATGCATGGGATGGTGGCACATGCATGGGATGATGGGACATGCATGGGATGATGGCACATGCATGGGATGGTGGCACATGCATGGGATGATGGGACATGCCTGGGATGATGGGACATGCATGGGATGGTGGCACATGCATGTGATGGTGGCACATGCATGGGATGATGGGACATGCATGGGATGGTGGCACATGCATGTGATGGTGGCACATGCATGGGATGATGGGACATGCATGGGATGGTGGCACATGCATGTGATGGTGGCACATGCATGGGATGATGGGACATGCATGGGATGGTGGCACATGCATATGATGGTGGCACATGCATGGGATGGTGGCACATGCATGGGATGGTGGCACTATTCAAGCCATGCCCACGTACCCCCATTCGCCATAGTCACAAGCGAATGTGAATCCTACCATACGTACATTTGAATCGTCGAAAAACATGGCAATGGGCATGCGCAGCTCGAAGCCCCTGTTCACCATGTGGAGTGTAGAACCCCATCTCGTCAGGCAGTCCACGATCAAACGCAACGGACCCGATGGTCGCCGAGAACCCGGAGGACCCTGGGGCCAGGTCGCCGCGTATCCCTTCTGGAGCTCGAAGAAACGATCTGTGCGCAGTGTGGACCAGCCGATGTAGTTCGCCACGTCTCGCAGCCTCTTGAGTGGCTCGGCCACCTCGTCAACCTTCAGTGCAGCTTGCACTGCAAGGTTGACGACGTGCGCCATGCACCTGTTGGGGCAATGCATTGTGCAGAGTGGGTTTAATGTCAGTGTACCACATAAGCACTGCCATAACAAACATGGTGGACTACGCCAACAGTTTATAGCATACCCTTACGGAGACAGCCCCATAGTACCTGAAGTGCCTCCAGCGACTGAGCAGTGGTGGGTGCCTGGGCCGTGAGCCCGGCCTGGCGTCAGGTACACCGGCCAGCAGACGCATCGCCCTGCTGTTGTTCTCGGCGTTGTCACACGTCACGGCGAACAACATCTTCTCCAAGCCCCACTCCCTCAACACCTCCTCCAGCTCATCGGCTATCAAGTCCCCCGTATGAGAGCCCTTAAGCTCCCTGAAGTCTACAACAGCCTGTTTCAGCTGGAAATCGCTGGTGACATAGTGGGCAGTCACCCCCATGAAGGCCACGTTGTTCTCACCGGTCCAGATGTCAAAGGTGAGGGACATCCTTCCCGCCAGGCCATCACCCACCAGTAGCTGCCGCATGTCCTCCCTAGCAGCCTCCCCGTATGCCTGCATGTCCCGTGCCAAGCGATGGCGTGAGCCGAGCAGTAGCGCAGCTCCCGGGTTCAGCATCTGGACAAATGCTTTGAACTGTGACGCAGGAGTCAAAGGATGTCGGTAAAGGGATTATGAAGATGCTTTGGGATTAGCCAACAGAATGCAGTGCGGCTGCCCTGCACTAATATGACCACCTCAATACGAAGATGAACATGACAAACGGCAAGAGAACGGCGTCACTCACCTCGCGACACTCAACAAGTCGAAACGGAAGGTCAGCTGCCGCAAATAGCTGCACCAATCCCTCGCGCAGCTGCTGGCCATGAACACGCGGCGTGACGAATGCGGCCATGCTCATCTGCCTACTCCCACCAGCCTCGGATCCGCCAGTCACTGCGCTGTCTGGTGTCTGTACAATCCTGGGCCACGTGGCTGCATGCTCCCAAGGCCACGCTGTCTGGTCGGGGACATCCGGACCCCATCCCCCATCGGGAAACGTCAGGTTGTCTGGCTTGTTTGGATCCTTGAAACGCCGACACCAGATCTGCAGACTGGGGTAGTGGCTCCTCTTGAGGTGTCTCTTCCCCGTGCTCGTGCAACTACCTTTCCAGCTAATCTTCTTCTTGCAAATCTTGCAATTCCTAGCCTCTTTCACATCCTTCTCACTGAACATGCCACGAACCAGCCCGGGTTCTGCATTCCTAAGCACCTCCTCAGTCCATGGGTCCAGCTCTTCGTCGGTAGGGGTCCTGCCCGCCCTGTCGGACCTCTGGCTTGCTCCAGCCCCCGCAGACCCACCCAAAGGTGCACCACCTGCCGCAGCGGCGGAGGTACCTGCCCTTGCTGCGCCCGACCCCTCAGAACCACCCGCGGCTGCCCCCTGCGGCTGCGAATTCGACGCCGGCCCGGCCCCTCCAGCTCCCGACCCCACAGGCCCACTCGTGCGTGGCCTCTTTGCTGCTGCACCGCTGCCACGCGCGCCACTGCCACCAGCCTGGCCCCCTCCTCTCCCTCCCCAACCCTCATCACCCGATCCTCCACTCGTGCCGGCCGCCTCCCCCGGAGCCGGCCTCCAATCCGGGTCCTTCTCCTTTCCTCGTGTTCCTTGCTCCTCCGTCACTGGGCCAGGTCCTTGAGACTCCCATTCCCGCACCTCTTCACGCCTCCTCGTCGCGATTGCATCGTCCCACCCAATTTCCTGCCCATTGAAGACGCTCCCCAAGCGAAAACTGGCCCTGGAGGCCGGTGTCGGGAGGCCTCCAAGCGAAGCCCCAGGAATAGCACGTGAGCTGTTTTCTTCCCCCTCCATTCGCGTGCAAGCGGCGTCGATTACGTTTCGGACCTTGGAGTCACGACGTTTTTGTAATGGCGCAGGCCTAGACAATTGGGGGTCGCGTCCCCAAAGATGCGGGCGTGGTAGGCGCGCAGTGGGCGATTTGAACGCGGGGCCAGAGTTTAGTCGCGTGTGAGAGCTAGGAATAACTAAGTCTATAAAATCGAAAATCTGTGGTTGGTCGCGCTAGGCTAAGAAGTCCATTCCGCCAACATTGAAACACTTGAAATAGGGTTCCTAAACATGGGCGCTGGATTAGAGAGTTCTAGAGCTTGAGAACGAGCTATTGCTAGCTGCCTAGGTATAGCAGATCGAAGTCAATGTCGAGGGAACAAAAAAACCCTAGACATTGACTTCGCGATCAGCTTTAGTTCGAATTGTCGTGGGAGGCCCGACCCGACTTAGGGCGCGGTACCCGATTTCGAGTCGGGTCAAATTTCGGGTCAAAAACTGACCCAACCCGACCCGACCTGGTTTCGGGTGTCGGGTCGGCCCGACCCGGCCGAGTAAACCCGACCCGACCCGCCCGGGTCAACGCTTCAAAATGCCTGACCCGACCCGGGTCAAAACCCGGGTCGGGTCGGGTCGGCCCGACCCGCCGGGGCAGGATGATCATGCCTAGGTACGCAGCCCTCGCTTGATAGTCTGTACTATGCGCTCAGTCAGCCTGTCACTTTGCGAGTGGTAGCGAGAGGTGCGTCGGTGAGTGATGCCGGATTCCAACAGCAACTTCTTGAACTCCCCCTGGAACTCGGTTCCCTGATCTGTAAGAACCTCCCCGCATGCTCCAAAGCGACACACTACCTGCGCCTTGAAAGCTGCTGCAATGTGCCTTCCGCTCTTGCTAGGGATCGCTCGCACCTCCAGCCACTTACTCACATACTCAACCATGAGCACTATGTACTGGTTCCCGCTCCTGCTTAACGGCAGCTCTCCCGCCAGGTCCAGGGACCATCGAAATCCCAAGCCACAGATGGGTAGTGAGTGCAGCTCTGCCTTGGCCCGCGTCAGGTTGGCCTTGCTCCTCTGGCATGCCTCACACCCCTCTACCCACTCCTTCACCTGCCTGCGCATCCCTTCCCACCACCAGCCTGTCTTCAGCAGATGTACAGTCCTCTCATGCCCGAAATGTCCCAGCTTAGTGTGCACTTCTCTGATCACTGCTTCTCGCTCCTGCGGCGCTGGCACCAGCTTCCATCCATCTTCGGTCTTGATCTGCAGCTGTTGTTGATACCACCTGTAGTGGTGTCCTCGCGCCCTCACCCTCTTAGACACGTTCTCGTCCTCCTCGGTCTCTCCCTTCACCCATTCCATTGCCTTCTCATCTTGCCATATGTCACCTGGCCCCTTGCTCCCCTTAGCGCCGTTCAACTCCACCTCTCTGGCCAGCAGGATCAGTGTCTGCGCGGGTTCCAGCTCAGTCATCCCTTTCTCCTGCTCTGTCTGTTCAGGCTCCAGTGGTGGCGGGTTGCGGGAAAGGCAGTCGACGTGCTGCAGCGTCTTTTCTGGTCGGTGCCGGATCTTGAAGTCATACTCCTGCAGCTTTACTGCCCACCTCGCGTTCCTGCCCATCAGCCCTGGTGTGGTCATCAGCCATGTGAGCGGCTGATGGTCAGTGACCAGGGTGAACTCTCTGCCCTGTAAGTACACCCTAAAGTGCCCCACCGCCCACACTGCTGCCAGCCCTTCGCCGATGTATGAACTATACTGAGCCTCTGCCGCATTGCAGCTCCGGCTAGCATAAGCTACCACCTTCTCGGTCCCCTCCACCTCCTGACAAAGGACTGCCCCCATCCCTTGACTGCTCCAATCGGTGTACAGGGTGAAGGGTCTGTCTGGCGCTGGCAGCTGCAGCACTGTTGCGGTCTTCACTGCAGTCATCAAGTCCTGCAATGCTGTCTTCTGCTCTGCTCCCCACTCTCACGCCTTATCCTCCCGCAGCATTCCGTTCAATACTGTCGCCCTTTTGCTGAAATTGGGCACGAAGCGTTTGTAGTAGCTCAGGAAGCCTAAGACTGCCCGTAGTCCTGACTTGTCGCGCGGCTCCCTCAGCTTGTCCAGCACCTGCACCTTTGCTTGTTGTATCCCTATCTGTCCTCCCTGCACCTCATACCCCAGGTACTGCACAGTCTGCTCCCCCCAGCGGCACTTCTTCGGGTGGCAGGTGAGTCCTGCCCCTTCTATCGCGCTCAGTGTCCTCTCCACGTCCTTGAGGTGCTGCTATTTGGTCACGCTGAAGATGACCACATCATCGATGTAACACTCCGCACACTCCACTCCCCTTAGCACGGCATCCATGACTCTCTGGAACACAGCTGAAGCATTCCTCAAGCCAAAAGGCATGTACAGCCACTCGTATAGCCCATCCGGCCCGTGAAAAGCTGTTTTCCTCACGTCCTCTTCCCTAATCTTGATTTGATTGAAGCCCTGTCGCAGGTCTAACGTCGTGAAAAACACCCCGTCTGCTAATTTGTCGAAGATTTCCTCGGCCATAGGTATGGGGTACCTGTCCGGCACTGTAATTTTGTTGAGCGCCCTGTAATCCCCACACATCCGCCTGCTCAGCACCTCTCCGGTCAAGTCTGTCACCAAATATAATGGTAAGAGCATCATATTGGAGACATATGCTAATTGGGTGTAGAAGTGGTGTAGCGAGTGTTATTCAATCTACATGTGGGGTAGTTAGGTTATAGAGAGTAGCGAGAAGTTGGTAGCATTGGGGGTTACAGGGCGCTTTGGGGACAATTTCAAGAACCTCGGGAGACAGGCAATCTGGCGAGGGCCACTCCAAGGCCTAGGCGGTTCGAGCTCAACCCAGCACGCTGAGTTACTCGCGACTGGGCAGCCAAGCACAAATAGCCTAGTCTAGCATAGCAAACCTGTTCTCTCGTCTTGTTTGCCTCATATAGTGGATAACGTTACCGCAACAAGGCTATGCTAGCTAGGTGACTACGCCACTGTGGGCAGCCATCGTGTGGGAGAGTAAACTTCTCAGAAGGGAACGCAGAAGGGAACAGGGTAACAGGAGTGGGGACAGCACAAGGTGGGGAAAGGCCAGAACAAGAAGGAAGGGAAGAAGGTGAGGACAGAAGGCAGGGAAGAGGCAGGGGCAAGGGAGGAGTGAGGAAGGAGAAGGGAAGAACTCCGACAAGTCCTTCCTCGCTGCTACCACCGTTGGAGTGGCGTACTCTGACTCGGACCTCCTGATCAGGCCTGCCTCTAGCAACTCCTTTATCTTCTCTCTGCAGATCTCCTCGTCTGCCGGTGTCATCTTCCTTCTCCTGTGGAACACTAGCTCATCACTGCTCAGCTTCAGCGCCATTTCCTTGACTATACACTTCCCCAACTCCTGCAGTGAGAAGGCGAAGCACTTCCGGTATTTGGCCAGCAGTGCCCGCATTGCTTCCTTCCCTTCCTCACTCAGGTTTTCTCCTATCTTCCACTCTGGCTTTTCCCCTTCCTGGCAGACCCAAACCCCTTGCCTCACTGTCGCTGCACCTGCCTCTCCTTCCTTTCATCCCCAGTGGAGCACTGTCTCCCTCCACATCCGCTGCACCATCCACCGCATCATGTAGCCATCCATGGCGTTCCCCATTGCCCTCCTCCTCTCCTGCTCACTTACCCCAGGCGCTGCTGTGATGTTCTCCCCGTATCCCATGGCTAGTTCTCGCTCCAAGGCCGTAGGTTCCTCCCACTGTCCCTTCTTATGGTCATACACCAGCCCTGGCCCCAGCGTCTCTCCCTCCATCCGGTATCTTGCCGCCCCTTCATACGACACCAGAGTGGGCAGGGCCTGCCTCTCCTGTCCCGCCTGATTGCATGGATAATGCTTGTTGTAGCTTCTCTTGCTGACTGGTGCCGGAGTCCTTCCCGGTTCCAGTATGTCGCTCACCTTCCGTCCTCCTGCCCTCTCCACTCCCTCTATCTCTTTCTGCAGTTCTTCCGCTGGCACAACATTCTGCCAGTACGTTCTGAGTCGGTGGGCAAATGCTCCCATCTGCACCGCGTCGCTGCTAACTCCTTTGCCCACTTGTCTCTTCACCCTCTCTCTCACCCTCCTCACAGGTTCCTGAACATCTCCTTCCATATCCAGGTGTTCCAGCAGGTATGCCAGCCGGCCCTGCCTATCTTATAGCCATTCCATGATCCTGAACAAGTCTTCCATCAGTTTGGTCCTAGGGTCCTGGTCACCCCTCCCCTTCCCCGCCCATGACACACCTTGACACTCCCACCCTGCCACTAACAGGTCCACATGCCCCCAGCTTGCTACTTCGGCTTCAGTTATTGCCCTTACGTCATGTGCGCCTCTGCTCATTGCCGCCCTGATCACTTCCGCTTTCAGCACCTCTGGAAATTCCTCCTGCAGCTTCCAGGCATGATGTTCTGCCATTTTCCTCACCTCTGGTGCCTGCTCCACGTATATCCACTGCTTCACAGCTATGCCGTTCCTTACCACTGCTGCCAACCCTGCCCCTATTCCCCCAAAAAGCTCCACTAGTCGGATGGGCTGCTGCTAGTCTGTCTGTTGGCGCGGCTTGTCCATGAAGCTCATCCTCTGGTCCACTTCTCCCTTGCCATCTGCACTCTCTTGTGCCCCCTGCTTCGCTGTTATTTTCTTCTGATCCGCGCGGTAGGCCCTCTTCGGCTCTGTCTTCACGAATTGCACCGGCAGCTGGCCTAGCGGCTCCCCCTTCCTCCACCATCTGGTTCTGAATTCCACACTCTCCTTCCAAAAGCATATCGTCATGGCTAATGCGAATATCATATCCGTGCCCACCAACACGTCGAAATCCTCTGACTCCGAAATCCCGCACCTGATTCTGACTTGTGTCTCGTGTTTTTCTCCTTGCAGCACCGTCAGCTCTATTGGAGTCCTGGTGCACGGCATCCACTTTGATTCTCCCCCCTCTGCTGTCATCACCAACATCCCCTTCACTACGTGTCTGTCCGGCGCCCCCAAACCCAGTTTCTCAGCCATCCTTTTCCCCAGTATGACGCTCTGTGCCCCTGTGTCTATAATGGCAGTTCTTGCCTTCTCCCCTTCCACGGTCAGTGCTCCATTCTGTATCAGCAGGACTGAGGTCTGACATGCCAATCTCTCCTGTGGGTGACGTGCAGCTGTACACTTCTCCTCCTTCTCCTCTGGCTTCTGCCCCTTTTCCCGTTCCTTCTTCACATGTTCTCTTCTAGTATCCTTCCCTCTGCTTCGCAGCCCCATCTCTTCTCTTCCCCTCCACGCCATGAAAGCTGGTTGCCCCTCCCATTCCACATCCTCTTCTTCCTCTTCTCTGTCATCTTCCCTTCCTCCCCAAGCCATTAGTGCAGCTCGCTCCTCTTGTTCTACATCCTCTTCCTCCTCGTCCCTGGCATACATTCCCGCTTCAGCTTCTCGTCGCGGTCCTAATGCCTGTAACTGAGCCTGCAGCCGACTAATCTGCTTCTCCTGTTCCTCCAGCTTCTTCTTCGCCGGTCCATCCTTCTGGTAGCAGTCCTTTGCCACGTGTCCTCCCTTGCCACAGACCTCACACTTCGGCGCTTCAGGGCACTCCCGCCGCCGGTGCCCTGGCTTCCCGCAACAGTCACAGTTTTTGCAGTCCCTGCGAAGGTGTCCCGGCTGTCCGCATCGGTGGCATGTCCGAGTTTCTGGCCTGCCCTCTCCTCGCCCCGCTGCCCTGTCCCTCTCTTCAGGTATGATTGCTACTGCCCAGGTTGGCCCCCGGCTTCTTTCCGTAGTCCTGGGCCTGTATGCTTCATATTTTTTCTGTGCGAGCTCCATCTTCTCTGCCAACTCGAAGACCTCATCCAGCCTCGTGTCTGCCCCCAGCTCATACACCTTCATGCGCAACCCATTTCCCATGGAGCTGTCCAACCCATCCAAGAATTTACTGACTAGGAGGCCCATGTCCTCACAAGTCAAGTCCTCTGCCAAGTTAATCAGCCGATTGTGATAGGTGAGTAAGGACACACTCCTCCCCTTCCTGAAGTCCTGGAATTCTCTTATCTTCTCTGCGGTATGGCCAGGAAACTGCCGCTGCAGCCGCTTCAGAAATGCCTCCGTGGGGTCTTCCCCGTACCTGCCCGCCCTCTCTAACAGCTCATCCATCCTCATTCTGTACAGTGTCTCTGCCTCCCCTTCCAGTGTGTTCGGCAGACTCAGGAAGAAGTCCACTGCATCCATGCCACTCCTTTCGCACCTGTATCTCACGTTCCCCAGTTGCATCAAGTAATTCTTCAGCGTCGGTCCCACGCGCTGGTCTCCAGAGAATCGCGCCGGCACTTCCACCCATGCAACCATCGCTGCACTTCCACGCCCCTCGCCCCATGACTCACTTGCCCCTTTTTCCTGCCTTCCTGACGTCCCCCCTCCTCTGGCCTGCTCAATTCCCTTTCTTGCTTCTCTGGCGCGTTCCATGCTATTTGCCAGACCGCTGCCCACACCCCTGCTTCTCTGCTGATCGTGCCTTGCTTCCCATCGCCTTTCCTCCCCACCCATCTTTCCTCGCCGATCTGGTGAGTGACACGCACGCACCCATTCTTCCCCTTGCCCTCGGCGCTGCCAGCGCGGCTCAGGTGTCGGGGTGTCAGATTACTATAGCTTATACATGTTGTAGGCTGTAGTGGGGTAGCACATAAGGGGTACAACCCAATTAGGGTTGGTACTTGTACTGTTTTCATTTTCATAGTTGATCATTCCTGTTCCTTACTTTCACATGGTATAGAGCGGGTTCCCTGTGGGAACTTCGCCTAGGGCCCACCGAAGCGCGCCCCGAGGCGCGCGATCGTTTTTTTTGCGACCCCCCGAGTCGCCCTTCCCCACGCGGCCCCGCTGCCCTTCACGCAGCCCCGCCGCCCTTCCTAGCGGTCCCGCCCACCCTTCGAGCGGCCCCGCCGTCTAGTCGCGGCCCCACCACCTCCTCGCGGCCCCACTACGACACGGCCCCGCCGCCTGCTCGGACGCGGCCCCGCCGCCTGCTCCGACGCGGCCCCGCCGCCCGCTACGAAGCGGCCCCGCCGCCTACTCAGACGCGGCCACGCCGCCTGCTCAACCGCGGCCCCGCCGCCCGCTACGACGCGGCCTCCGCCGCCTGCTCAGCCGCGGCCCCGCCGCCCTCTACGGCGCGGCCTCCGCCGCCTGCTCAGCCGCGGCCCCGCCGCCCGCTACTACGCGGCCCCGCCGCCGGCTCAGTCGCGGGTGCTCCCAGCGGCCCGCCGCTGCACCTCTGCCGGCTCCGCCGTCTCCTGTCCCGGCCCCGCCGTCCCCTATCCCGGCCCCGCCGCTGCTCCCTGACGGCCCGCCGCTACGCCCTGACGGCCCGCCGCTGAACCTGTCCCGGCTCCGCCGCTGCACCCTGACGGCCCCGCCGTCCCCTGTCCCAGCCCCGCCGCTGCACCCTGACGCCCCCCCCGTCCCTTGTCCCGGCCCCGCCACTACACTGCAGCCGAGCCGCCCAGCAGCAGCCGGACCGCCCAGCAGCAGCCGAGCCGCCCAGCAGCAGCCGAGCCGCCCAGCAGCAGCCGAGCCGCCCAGCAGCAGCCGAGCCGCCCAGCAGCAGCCGAGCCGCCCAGCAGCAGCCGAGCCGCCCAGCAGCAGCCGAGCCGCCCGGTACCCGAGCCGCCCGAGCCGCCCAATCCGCCCGAGCCGCCCGAGCCGCCCCACCAGCCCGAGCCGCCTGCTGCTGACCTACCCGACTCTCCTAGCCCGGTGAGACTTTCAGCGGCTGCCATGGCCACCCCCAATGTTCTTACTTTTGACGCTGAGGGGAGGGCCATTGACTTTGCCGTCTGGATCGAAGACCTGCAGCTGTACTTACTGTGTGATGCGATAGATGAGGTCTCTCTCTTTGACTTTGTCTCTGGCGCTGTCCCTGCCCCGCCTGCTGATGCTGACTCTGCCGTTCGCTCCAAGTGGGCGACCCGCGATGCTGCTGCACGTCTTGCTGTGCGTCGCCACCTCCCTTCCTCTGAGCGTGCCCACTTTAGTCAGTGCAAGACCGCTCAGGCCTTGTACGACGCTGTAGTTGCACGCTACTCCTCCCCTTCCTCCGCTACCCTTAGCCGCCTCATGCTACCGTTTCTCTTCCCTGACCTCGCTTCCTTTCCCACTGTTGCTGACCTCGTTACCCACCTCCGCGCTAGTGACACCCGCTACCGCGCTGCCCTTCCTGCTGAGTTCCGCGCTGCGAACCCTCCTCCCATGTACATCACTCTCTACTTTCTCGTCACCCGTCTCCCTGAGTCCCTTCGTGTCGTTAGGGACCAGTTTCTCTCTGTCTGTCCCACCACTCTCACTGTCGATCTCCTAGAGGAGTCCCTGCTAGCGGCTGAGAAGAGTATAGTCGCTGTAGGGGCCTCTCGGGGTGACCCTCGCACCCCCATCTTTGAGGGGTGTGGTCCTTCCCCCCTACTGCCCACTGTCGCCTCTGCCGCTACGGCCGACCTCGCTGGTTTTGAGTCGGTCGGCGCGGCGTCTGCCCCCAGCGGCAGACGCCGCTCTGGCAAGGGCAAGGGGGGCAAGGGAGCGGGTGGAGCTAGAGGGGGCGGTGGAGGAGGCGGTGGGGGTGGAGGGGGGAGTGGGGGTGGCGGTGGGGGTGGTGGCGGGAGTGGAGGTACTGGTGGCGGCGGTGGAGGCGGAGGTGGCGGCGGAGGTGGTAGCGGAGGAGGCGGTGGGAGCGGTGGGGGCGACGGTCCTGGTGGGGGAAGTGGCGGTGGAGACGGGGGTGGCGGTGGAGGCGGGGGTGGCGGTGGAGGCGGGGGTCGGAGTGGCTCGTCCCAGCGGAGCAGCTCTGGGGGTGGTCAGCGCCAGCAGCAGCAGCAGCAGCAGCCGCAGCAGCAGCCGCAGCAGCAGCAGCGCTCTCGCACTGTCCCCGGCCCTCAGCAGCTCCGTGAGTGGTACTTGCAGCGTCAGCGCGGTGGTGCGCTTGGTCCCTGCCCCTACGTTCTTCGCACTGGTGACCGTGCAGGGGAGAGGTGTGGAGGCGCCCACACAGCCCGTCGCTGCTTTGGCCGCCTGACCGACGCCTGGCGTCAGCAGTTTCCGGAGGCCGCTGAGATCCCCCGCTGGGGAGAGCTGTCTAGGGCTGGTGTAGCTATTTATGATCTTGACTTTGATGCTATTCTCTCTGCTATGTATGCTGTGACTGGTAGTGATGAGGATGACTGTTACCGGTGTTTCCCGCCCGACCCGGGCATTGGTACTGCCGCGTCAGGTACTAGTGAGGCTGCTGCTCTAGGTGCCAGTGCGTCTGTGCTCTCAGGTACTGGTGAGTCCGCCCTCTCAGGTACTGTGTCGGCTTCGGCCTCTCACACCTTCACCCTTGACTCTGGGGCGTCTCGCTCCTTCTTTAGGGACCGCACCACTCTCACGCCGCTGAGTCGGCCTGTTGCGGTGTCCCTGGCTGACCCCTCTGGGGGGCCTGTCCTGTCTCGCTTCTCCACTGTCCTCCCGTGTCCGGCGGCCCCCTCTGGCACCCTGACTGGTCTCTACCTCCCCTCGTTCTCGACGAACTTGGTGAGTGGTGCTGACCTCCAGGATGCGGGTGTCCACCAGTTCACCCCTGCTCGTCAGCGGGTGACCCACTGCACGGAGGCGGATACAGGTCGCCACCTGGCTACGTTTACACGTCGGCCAGGGTCGAGCCTGTACACACTGACCACTGCTTCTCCTCCAGGTACTGCGTCTGGTAGGGTCCCTTCGTCTGGTCAGGTGTTTGCTGCAGCGTCCAGGTCTGGTCCTGAGTCTGCCCCCTGTTCGTGTCGTCGTCTGTCTCACGAGACCCTCCTCTGGCACCACCGCCTTGGCCACCCCTCTCTGATCGTAGATCTCTCCTTCCTTCCTGCCCGCGACGATAGTCCCGCTGGCGCCCCTCCTCTTCCCATCTCCCTCCCTGTCTTCGCTGCAGATCACGTTCTGGCGAGCGCGGCCCACCTCCATGCCTCTCGTTGCCCTGCGGACACGGATCCAGCGAGCGATATCCGCTGCCCCAGCTCATACCCCGTTCTTGGTACCGATTAGACGAGCTCGACTCGCCTCCCCTCCTCCCCTCATGAAGTTTGCGCAGATCTGGCGAGCGTGGCCCGCTTCCATGCCTTCCTTCGTGTTGCTGATACGGATCTGGTGAGCGCACCCCGCCTCTCCGCCTCTCGCTATGCTGCCGATACGAATCTGGCGAACGCGACTCGCCTCCACGCCTTCCCTCACGGCGCTGGCGCAGATCTGGCGAGCGTGGCCCGCTTCCCCGCGCCCCGTGATGCGGCTGATACGAATTCGGCGAGCGCGACCCGCCTCCCCACCTCCCGCTGCGATATCTCCACGGATCCGGCGAGCGCGACTCGCTTCCCCGCTTCCCGCCCCGATGCTGACGTGGATTCGGCGAGCGCGATCCGCCTCCCCGTCTTCCGTCACGATGCTGACGCGGATCAGGCGAACGCGATTCGCTTCCCCGCCTTCCGTCACGATGCTGACGTGGATCCGGCGAGCGCGACCCGTTTCCCCGCCTTCCGTCACGATGCTGACGCGGATCAGGCGAACGCGATCCGCCTCCTTGCCTCTCGTCACGATGCGGGTGCAGATCTGGCGCGCGCGGACCGCTTCCCCGCTTTCCGTCATGCTGCTGACGCGGATCTGGCGAGTGCGGCGCGTCGCAGCCCTGCTCCCCGCCATACGCCTGCTGCCCAGAAACGTGCGCCTCCCTTCGCGCGCTTCGTGCGCCACCAGTTCCCCCCGTCTCCCCTTCGCCTGCCTTTTCCGCCTCGCCTGGCGCAGGGTCTGCCTCCGTTGCTTCCGCGGGCATGTCGCGCTGCCCGCCTCCGTCCTCCTTCCGGACTTCGTCGCTGGCCTCTGCCACGTCATCGCGCTCAGACTCCTGCGAGGTATCCGTCGCGTCGTCCTCTCCTTCTCCGCTGGCATTGAGGTCTCCCTCTCGGCCCGAAAACAGTCCCTCCAAGCCTCGCCCGCGACTTCGATCTTCGCGACGACGATAGCTTGCTTCCGGCGAGCGGTACGCTCCCGTCTATTGGCGATACCCAAGATCGCCACCTGCTCCGTGGCGCGGATCCGTCCGCCACGGATCACTCCCCGCCATGACCGATCCCGAACCGCCTGCTCCTTCTCGAGCAGATCCGCCCTCTCGGCGTTCGGGCCAGAGAGGCACCTGATCCGCACGAAAGGCAGGCCTCCGCGGCGACCACTCCACTGATCGCCCACGCTCGCGCGAGTATCTGCGCCGCGAGCGATCCTCCTCCCGATGACCATAAGTCCTGCCATAACGCAGCTCAAAACCGTCCATCCTTGCACGTGCGCACCCTTTCCGCTTGTTATGAAAGAGACGAATCTCCCACCCCAAGGGTCCTCCTTGAGTGGTGTGTCACCTAGCTGCGAGATTAAGGCAACAACGTTCCACTATACGAAAGGATAACAAGCGGAAAGCAACGAGTGTGTGTGTGAGAGTGAATTTACCTGGCCCAGGCTCGAAGCGTACATTTCTCAATGTGCGCCTCGAGCCTGGGTTGGTGCTGTCAAACATTATATATGTTATGCTTGTGTAGGCTACAGTGGGTTAGCCTATAGGGGGTACACAATTCTAGGGTTTCCTACTTGTACTCATTTCACTGCTAGTTCATTCATTCCTGTTCGCTTATTCTCACATGGTATAGAGCGGGTCCTTCTACGGACCGTTTTTTTGGGCCCACCGAAGCGCCCCCCGAGGCGCGATCTTTTTTTTAGCGACCCCTCGGGTCGCCATTTCCCCTGCGGCCCCGCCGCCTTCACTGACGCGGCCCCGCCGCCCTCTCTGTCGCGGCCCCGCCGCCTGCTCTCACGCGGCCCCGCCCCGGCTCCTTCGCGGCCCCGCCGCCTGCTCTCGCGCGGCCCCGCCCCGGCTTCTACGCGGCCCCGCCCCGGCTTTCACGCGGCCCCGCCGACGGCTTTGTCGCGGCCCCGCCCAGGCCCTTACGCGGCTCCGCCGCCTGCTCTCACGCGGCCCCGCCCCGGCTCCTTCGCGGCCCCGCCGCCTGCTCTCGCGCGGCCCCGCCCCGGCTTCTACGCGGCCCCGCCCCGGCTTTCACGCGGCCCCGCCGACGGCTTTGTCGCGGCCCCGCCCAGGCCCTTACGCGGCTCCGCCGCCTGCTCTCACGCGGCCCCGCCCCGGCTCCTTCGCGGCCCCGCCGCCTGCTCTCGCGCGGCCCCGCCCCGGCTTCTACGCGGCCCCGCCCCGGCTTTCACGCGGCCCCGCCGACGGCTTTGTCGCGGCCCCGCCCAGGCCCTTACGCGGCTCCGCCGCCTGCTCTCACGCGGCCCCGCCCCGGCTCCTTCGCGGCCCCGCCGCCTGCTCTCGCGCGGCCCCGCCCCGGCTTCTACGCGGCCCCGCCCCGGCTTTCACGCGGCCCCGCCGACGGCTTTGTCGCGGCCCCGCCCAGGCCCTTACGCGGCTCCGCCGCCTGCTCTCACGCGGCCCCGCCCCGGCTCCTTCGCGGCCCCGCCGCCTGCTCTCGCGCGGCCCCGCCCCGGCTTCTACGCGGCCCCGCCCCGGCTTTCACGCGGCCCCGCCGACGGCTCTGTCGCGGCCCCGCCCAGGCCCTTACGCGGCCCCGCCGCCTGCCCCCGTCGCGGCCCGGTCACCTCCTGACGGCCCCGCCGTCCCTTCCTGACGGCCACGCCGTCCCCTCCTGACGGCTCCTGCCGTCCCCTTCTACCGGCCCCGCAACTGCACCTGCTGGCCCCGCCGCTGCACCTACCGGCCCCCCACCACCCACCCCCCCTTTTCCCGTCGCCTGTCGAGGCGACCTGAGGGGGGCCGCAGAGGGGTGGCAGGTGTGTGGCCTCCCCTGCTTCTCCTCCTCCTTCATCTCCCACTGCAGCAGCCGAGCCGCCCCACAGCCGAGCCGCCCTGCCGCCGAGCCGCCGGGTCGCTGAGCTGCTGAGCTGCAGTTGCTGCCGAGCCGCCCTGCCGCCGAGCCGCCGAGTCACCGAGCTACTGAGCTGCGGTTGCTGCTGAGCCGCCTTGCCGCCGAGCCGCCCGAGTCGCCCGAGCCGCCGAGCTGCCGAGCTGCCGAGCCGCTGAGTCGCCGAACCTACTCTTCCCACCACTGGTGAGCTCTTGCCCTGCTAGCACGCTGCGCGTCGCCTGCTTGCCTGCCTGCCTGCCTTTTGGCTTGCCTGGCTGCCTGCCTCCCTGCTGCTAGTCCTGCTCCTGCTTCTACTTGCGGAGCCAAATGCAGCCCCAGCGACGCCGGCGTGAGTCCCTCACGCCGCAGCAGCTGTGTGAGTGGTACGCTGGTTGGGGCTGTAGGGGTGGCGACGCTACTCCTACTACCACTCCTGCTGCTTCTACTCGTGGTGGCGGCCAGATGCAGCTCCCGCGACCCTCTCGCGTGTCTCTCACGCCTCGCCAGCTTCGTGAGTGGTACGCTCAGAGTGGAGGGTCTCTCAGTGCTGTTCGCTGCTCTTACGTGATTCGCACTGGTACTCGGACTGGTCAGCCTTGTGGGACACGTAGTCATACACCGTCCCGCTGCTTCGCCCGTCTGAGCGACACCTGGCGTACCGTGTTTGGCGACGAGGCTGAGCTTCCCGACTGGGTGGAGTTGCTTAGGCAGAGGGTAGATATATATGCTCTTGACTATGATGCTATTCTCACTGCCATGTATGCATTGCCTACTAGTGCTGACCGTGCAGGTCACCTGTGCGTCCCGCCTGACCCAGGTATAGGACCTACTGCTCTAGCTACTGGTGAGGCTGCTGCTCTGGGTGCTAGTGAGTCTCCTGCTCCAGGTACAGGTGCGGCTGCTGCTCTAGGTGCTAGTGAGTCTGCTTCCTCAGGTGCGGGTGAGGCTGCGCTCTCAGGTACCGCGTTGGCTTCGGCCTCCCTCACCTTTACACTTGACTCTGGGGCTTCTCGCTCCTTCTTTCGGGACCGCACCACACTCACGCCGCTTGGTCGGCCGGTTGCAGTCTCCCTGGCTGACCCCTCTGGGGGTCCTGTCCTCGCTCACTTCTCCACTGTCCTCCCGTGTCCGGCTGCCCCCTCGGGCACCCTGTCTGGCCTGTACCTCCCCTCGTTCTCGACGAACTTGGTGAGTGGTGCAGACCTACAGGATGCGGGGGTTCACCAGTTCACTCCTGCGAGTCAGCGGGTGACCCACTGCACGGACGCACGCACAGGCCGGCACCTGGCCACGTTCTCGCGTCAGCCGGGGTCGAGCCTCTACACCCTGACCACTGAGTCTCCTCCTGTCCCCGCGTCCGGTCAGGTAGCAGCGTCGGGTCAGGTGTTTGCTGCTGCGTCCAGGTCTGGTCCTGAGTCTGCCCCCTGTACTTGTCGCCTCCTGTCTCACGAGACTCTCCTGTGGCACCACCGTCTTGGCCACCCCTCCTTGCCCCGTCTTCGGAGCATGGCTTCCCGTGTCCTTGTCTCTGGTCTTCCCCAGTCTCTCCCTCCTCTCCCCTCCGGGCCAGGACCTTACTGTGTCCCCTGTGTCGAGGGTCGCCTCCGGGCTACTCCTCACTCCTCCCACTTCCCCCCGACAGAGGCTCCCCTGCAGACGCTTCACATGGATGTGTGGGGCCCAGCCCCCGTCCGTGGGAAGGATTACGAGCGCTACTTCCTGTTGGTGGTTGACGACTACTCGCGTTACACCACAGTCCTCCCCTTGCGCAGCAAGGGTGAGGTCACTGAGGTGCTGATCGACTGGATCCGCGAGGCTCGTCTCCGGCTCAGGAAGAGCTTCGGCTCGGACTTTCCTGTTCTGCGTCTGCACTCGGACAGAGGCGGAGAGTTCTCCTCTGGCCTTCTGCGTGCCTACTGTCGTGCGCGAGGCATCCGCCAGTCCTTCACGCTTCCGGACTCACCACAGCAAAATGGGATTGATGAGCGCCGCATTGGCATGGTCATGGATGTCGCTCGTACGTCCATGATGCATGCGGCTGCCCCCCATTTTCTGTGGCCGTTTGCGGTGAGGTACGCGGCGCATCAGCTCAACCTTCACCCCCGGGTCTCTCGGCCTGCGATGTCCCCAGCCTTGCTGTGGACAGGGAAGGTTGGCGATGCGTCTGTGTTCCGTGTCTGGGGATCTCGTGCGTTTGTCCGCGACTTGTCTGCGGACAAGCTGTCCCCTCGTGCTGCTCCCTGTGTCTTCCTTGGCTTCCCCACTGACGCCCCAGGGTGGCAGTTTTACCACCCCTCCTCTCGTCGTGTTCTGTCCTCCCAGGACGTCACGTTCGACGAGTCAGTCCCCTTCTACCGTCTCTTCCCCTACCGCACTCCTTCCCTCCCCCCTCCCCCGGACTTCCTTGTACCGGTTCCCCCCCCGGTAGACCCCCTCCCCCCTCAGGTTCCTGCCCCCTCAGGTGTGTCCCAGGTAGACGCCGTTGACCCGGTCGAGGTTACAGGTGACTCTGGTGCTGCTGCGGGTGCTGAGCCTGGGGGTGCTGACTCTGGGGGTGCTGTGCGCGGGGGTGCTGAGCCTGGGGGTGCTACTGCTGGGGGTACTGGGCCTGCGGGTGCTACTGCGGAGAGTGCGGAGCCTGGGGGTTCTGAGCAGGGGGGTGCTGTGCCTGGAGGTGATGGGTCTGGTGGTGCTGGGTCGGGAGCTGCTGAGCCTGGGGGTGCTGCGTCTGGAGCTGCTGAGCCTGGGGTTTCTCCTGCTGCTGCGTCTCGCCGGGAGCCCCTCTCTCCACAGGAGCTGCGCGAGTGGTTCGCTCGCCGCTGGAGGCGTGCTGCTGAGTCTGGAGGTGCTGCTGGAGCTGGAGCTGGAGCTTCTTCGACCGTCGAGGGTGCGGGTGCTGCCGGTCCCGGAGGTACTGGACCTGCGGGTCCTCCTGGAGCTGGAGCTGCTGAGGGCGTTGGTGCTGAGCCTGCTGCTGTTGGTCCTGCTGCTGGAGGTGTGGGTGGCGCTGGTGCTGTCTCTGAGGGC